CCACTTCTTGTATGGTGAACCTTCTCACCAGAGCTGCTGGGAGGAAGGGATGGGGACAGCACTGTGTGTGCTGGAATACCCGTAGATGGCCAAGCTTCCTAAGACCTAGATGAATAATATCTGCTAATGGTACAGATTTCTACAAGTTCTGAAAGTTCTCCTTGTCTCCTCTAGATTACAAAGATCACTGCAGAGAATATGTCTATTTAAAGTGCTTTTAAGTCAAGTATGTCCTTGGTTAAAATACACATCTCTTTGTTCAGCATTCCTGAGTCATACCTACAAGCTGTATGACAGTGTGTGATACCACAAAAGCATTGACAGGGCAGAAGAACCGTTACTTTCTCACGCACCATCTGCAAAACATATTCAACTCATATATATCCCTGACCCTATGGCTATGTTTTGCATTGAAAAACCTCCTCTCATTTTTGTAAACTGATTGCCCAGTAGCATAATTGCGTTGTCCCTATCAAATCTTACTTTCTTCAGTGAATTCCACGCACAGTTCCCATTCAATACCTTCTTGAGCAAGTGTGAGTTTTCCACTTGTTACGGCCCTAAAGCAGTAAATGCAGAACCGCCCTGACCTGGACTGGATGCCTCTTCCCTTTGGGGAAACTCCAAGGAGCAGACAACTTTCTCATCTTTAAAGATAAATGCATTAAAAAAAGACCTAGAATATCTGTGCCCAGAAACCTGCTCACGCTAGCAGCAAGTCAGGCAGCATGGCATGGCTGTCAGCCTCTCTTTGTGGCACATCCACAGTCAGCAGGCCACCTCCAGGGGTACCAAATTCCACATCCTCTCCCACAGCTGCCAGTGACCCTTCTTGAATGGGGTTGACTGGTGTTATTAGAAAATAGCATCTGCATGGTGCAACACACTGATGTGAGGTGAGAGCTTTCTTTGTGCAGCAGCAGAATGCTTCAATATGAGCTGTAGGAAGCGGTATCAGGTGGCAACTGAAGGGATAATAAACAAACTAAAAGAGACAGGGCACATCATCCTATTTAACTTTCACACCAAAGACAGAAAGACTCACAGGAATAAGAATTATTGCAGAGTCATACTTGTCTCACCATATTTTGCAAGAGACCTTTTTGGTTGGGTTTTGTTTTTGTCTTAAAGAGATGTTTGCTCATTAACCTCTGCTGGAAGGCAAGGAAAACAAAGTGCAATAAAAGTGCAGCAAAACTCAGGTCAAACAGTTGGCAGAAAAAAAACCAATCCAGCTTCTGAAATGATTCTGAGTTTGCCTTGATTCAGAGGACTGGATCTTGGCTTTACAACAGTTTTGTACTTTAAAATGTATTATCCTTCTGGGCAGAATCAGGGTCTGAATGTTTCAAACCTTACCAGTGACGGTGAAGCACACTTTTCCTTTACTTCTAGACCAGGCTTGAAAACTTACTGAGAGGCAAATCTTACTGAGATTGCTAGTTACAGACTTGAGAACACAAAGTCACTGCAAAGGTACCAACATCTGAGGTGGCCCTTTTTGTGTGTGGATACATGGACATCGGTATGGAAATCATAAACACGTGTATGCTCAGGGATTGGTGTTGGGACCGGTCTTATTCAACACCTTTGTCGGTGACATGGACAGTGGGACTGAGTGCACCCTCAGCAAGTTTGCCGATGACACCAAGCTGTGTGGTTCGGTTGATACCCTGGAGGGAAGGAATGCCATCCAGAGGGACCTCGACACACTTGTGAGGTGGGCTGATGCCAGCCTCATGAGGTTTAACCATGCCAAGTGCAAGGTCCTACACCTGGGTCGGAGCAATCCCAGGCACAGCTACAGGTTGGGCAGAGAAGAGATTCAGAGCAGCCCTGTGGAGAAGGACTTGGGGGTGTTGGTTGATGAGAAAATGAACATGAGCTGGCTTCAGTGTGCGCTCACAGCCCAGAAAGCAACCGTATCATCAAAAGGAGCGTGACCAGCAGGTTGAAGGAGGTGATCCTGGTTAGACAAAACCTTGGGTGACGTTATTTAGTGTGAGGTGTCCCTGCCCATGGCAGGGGGGTTGGAACTGGATGATCTGAAGGTCCTTTCCAACCCTAACTATTCTATGATTCTATGTGTGTATATGATCTGTTTAGGTACAGAAACGGAGCTGCTGTGCAAGCTGACTAACATATCAGCTGAATTTATTTTAGCACACACTGGCAGATCTCCCAGTTGCTGCATTACAGAAAATTAGTACTATACGCGTTCTGATTAGGCTGGTGATGGTTTTATAGGCATAAAAGCCCACGGGTACGGTGAGAAGCATGGCAAGAAATATTTGTTCGATATCCAGCAGGACTTTGGAGCTCAGAGACCCAGCAAGCATAATGCCAGCTGATGCCTGTCTTGAACTGAGCTCACCCAAAGTAAAGATGGAGAGTGTCTGATTTTTACCACCAGCAGAACTGCCACAAACCCTACAATTCTGTCATTAGAAAATAGAAAACATTCTGCAGCTCTGCCTCAGGCTCTTGGAAACTCACATGCTTGAAACCCAGTGTTTTGGGTGGGTGAGGAACATTCTGCTGAGCAGCTTTCACTAAGCTGGGATGGGCCCTGCCACTGCAAGCACACGGATACTGAAAACCCAGGATTAAACCTGCAACTTCATCATACCTATTGCAAGGATACAGGCCTCTCAGATCAAGGTTGGCAGGAGTGAAATAGCCTGGATTCAGGAGAGACTGAGGAGATCCAGATTGCAGGGACCTTCTGTACTTCAATCCTCTCTCCCAAACTCACAGCCTACTGACTGATGTTCCTTCTGCAGGCTTGCCAGGGGGTCTGAACCCAGGATGTGTCCAGCCTTTGTGAACCATGTAATTCCATGTGATACTCCATCCACAGAATGACCTCCCAAAGCAATATCCCTCTCCTACTACCCTGAGCTCAGACATTTAACCTAAGCTTTACCCAAGTGGTGGATACCCCTGCCCTTGAAGGAATGTACCTAAAGTCAGGCAGCATGAATAATAGCCCTAGAATCATAAGTGGCTTTTGGAGACATCTGTTCTTTTCCAAATCCAGTTCAATGGCGCTTTAATTCTTTTCTTTAAACGCTAAGTCCTCCAGTTCAACCCTTAATTATAATGCAATCCAAGACCTTCAGGCTTTCTCTCCCCACTCCCCACCCAGGTGTTTAAATATGACATGAGCTAAAAATACGCTTTTGGTGTGTCCCTTCTGTGATGTTAACAAGGAATGGAATGCAAGACAAACTGCAATTTTGGAATTACGCTTTAAAAGATTACTCGTACACATATTTAAGGTCTAATTTTAGCAACCTGTGGAACTTCTAGAGGAATTCTAATATAGTAACCCAATTGGCATGAGCCAATTGAACACAGCACAGATAAGCCTGTAGTAACCCACACCTCCTAAATGCACTCAAAGCAAAAATAGGCTAATGCATAACAGCAGAAAAGAAACAAACAAATTGGTTAGGCAGCCTGTGGGCTGCAGTAAACACAGTTGCCATTGCCAGAAATGCATGACCCTGCCATATCACATAACAGTGCATTCCAAGCCAAAATCAAAATCCACCTAGCATCACAGTGCAGAAGCAGTCAGCTCTGGGCCCTAGGGAAGACACTGCAATGCAGGAGGCTTCTGCAGAGCAATACCTTTCACTGATCCTAGACAGTTCATTCCGTGGAGTGTCCCCAGGGGGTTTCTAACTGCTATGGTGATGAACAGGCTGAAAGGCAATATCTCTGATATAAAAAATAGAAGGAAAGCAAGCAACTAAAGAGGGCTGCTCAAGTCACTGGCACAAACATCCAAAAAATGTAACTGTTAACAGCAGCAAATTGTTTGGAATGGGGATAAAATGCAAGTTTCAGAGCTGAAGTCAATGCCTAGATGAGAAAGAGATCATGAGAAGATGTTTCAATTTGGTAGATCCACCTCAGCCTACAGAGCATTTGGAAATGTAGTGACTGCTCTCAGAAAACCATCTGTTCACACATTTTTATGCCTCCCACTAAAGCTGATCTGTGATCTGAGAACAGCTACATCCTCTATAGTGAAAAACACTGCAATAACATAGCTCACTAGGAGAACGTCTGCTTAGAGCAACGTTAACTTGGTTTGTAGGTATTTTGGGGACGGGGTGTGGGATGGAAGGAGGCGGGAGAAGACTTACTGCACACATGCTTTCAGTACAAAGCTTCCTTTGCACCACATAGAGAAGGAGTATAGAAATTTCAAGATCTAGTCTTTCTCTCCACTGGCAAGCATTGCTCCTAAAGAAATGGTACCTAAACAAATGCCAGAGAAAAATCTAGATTCTTCATATCTTTCAGATAAATGGAACCTTGTCAAATGAGAAGCATATGGTAGAATAGTGCAGCAGTGACAAAAGCTCTGATCCAACAGTTAGGGCATACTGCTGTGCTCGTGCAGGGCCTCAATGACTTTAGTAGGACTATACACTATCAACTGTGACTCCAGGACCTAACTCAATATTTAGCTCCACACCCCCATCATGTTGGCAATAATTCAGAGTTGGTGAGACAACTTATAAAGGAAAAAAAGAAAAGGGCAAAAAGCTGTGTTTTAAAGCTCTCTAATTCAATGTTAGGTTTTTATGTGCCTGACATCAAAGCATTTTTTCACTTCTATTGAATCAAAATTAAGCACTAAGATTACTAAGGTAATTTATGTTGGAGATTATTGAAATGAGTGTTTTATTAAAATCTGGTTTTATTAATAAAAACACATTCTGGCTAAGGACTCACATGAGTCTGCTATTAGAGACTATTAACTGGGAACTGGGACTTAATCATAACAGTCATGCTGCCAGATCCTTTGACAGCAACACACACTGGGTTTGTTTCTGCTTTTACTTTTACTAGCATATTCAAGTCAATTAGTTACCTTAGCACACCAGTGGTGAGAGTGACTCCTGTAAAACAGTGTAAGGAAACAAAGGTACATACATCTCGGTAGCTCTGAACAAAGAAAGGGTAATCAGAAAGAGACTCACCAGCCTGATTAGTTGTGATGCTGACAGCAGCAAACTGTCTGGAAAGCGTACTCAAGTCGGATACCCCGTTGACTGCATCAATCTCAAAAGTGTAATTGGTGTGTGCCAAAAGGTCCACTACTGTCACCGTCGTGTTGGTGAGTCCAGTCTGACGGGGTAAGAATCGCACGTTGTCACTACAAGGCTCACACATCTTGGTGTTTCCTCCACATTTTTTGCAAATGATGTTGAAAGTGACATCTTTCCGACCTCCAGTGTCAAGAGGCCAGCTCCAGTCCAGGATAACAGATGTCTCATTGATGTTAGAGATAACGTTTCTTGGAGCAGATGGTGGTCCTATAAAAGGAAACGGGAAATCAGAGGGATGAGATTTTCTGCAGTGCTCTAAGATGGGTAGTGCTCTAAGAGAGGAGTAACAAGTGTGCAAAAATACAAGTCAGAAACACAGATAGCCAAACTCTTACAGTTATTTCCTGTAGAGACGCCTGAAATATTTCACTGGACTCCAGACCTAGACTATCAAGGACCATCTTTTCCTATAGACAGTACCCTCAGAGTGCAGTTCAGGACCGAGGGCTGAAAATATTGGTAGCAATTCAAAAATCCTAGCTCTCCTTTTCGAGTCTGACAGAGAACAAGAAGGAGAAAATGAAAATAGACATAAACCCAGCCCACCAGTTTTCGGTAGCCTGTCCAACATGAAGAAGACATGGGAGGCAGTGGATGGCTGACTGCAATGGGACATGAGAAGAAGCAAGCAAGCTGCTGAGATACAGCTGGAGGAGCAAGAATGACAGCCCCGAGCATAATGATGCTACTCACTGGTGCAAGCCATGGATGGAGGGTCTTTCTCAGAGCGAAAGTAATTCTTTTCACACCTGCAGTTCAGAGATGCATCTTCGTAGGTGGAGCTGTGAGGTGGACATTTGGCACACTTCACGTTGCCAGCAGAGGCTTTGTAGAACCCAGGTCGACAAGCTGCAAAGTAACAGGAGTACAGTTTTAAACTCCATGGACATCTCCTCAATGTTAACATGTCACTTCCTTACTGCCCTGGACCTATCCGTATGTAGATCACATTTTGCAGATATTTAGGGTGTAAAAATACAGATTTCTCTCATAATGAGAAAGCTGATGGAAATAAAACCTCTTGGCAGAATGGAGCTCTTCAGGCATCAACTTGGATTTGCATTTAACTTTGCCCAGAAAACAAAGCTGTGCATTGTACCACTAAGAAGAAACCTTTCTCTATGCTGCATTTTGAGAGTTTCACTCATTTTTCTTCTCTTCTGGTTAATTTACCAAAACACTGGCCCTATCCTGCATAAAAACTTTATACTCTCTCTGCTGCCAAGATCTGCTTACAAGGGCACTCTAATAGTGTGATAAGAATCAGCAGATGCCACTGTTCGGCTGCTGGCTCCCTCCAAAACACGCATCTTTCTTCAATGGGATTTACCAAGTAAAAGCATTCTGGCTGACGTTGGTAACCTGTAGGTCTGCACCCATACCTACAACAGCCAGAGACAAACAGACAACGTAACAAAAGGGAGCACATCCTAAAAAGCCTTCATGTTTTGCTACACTTTGGTTCCACAGCAAGCACTGTTTAATGCACAAGAGCCCTGCAAACACCCCAATACATTCTCATTGCAAACATTTAATAATAATAACGCAAAACAAAACCCCCCCAAAAAAACAGTAATACAAAGGAAAACAAAAGTTCTTTTTGCCTCTGGAGCCCAGACAGTTAAGCTTAGATAAAATTGCCTGAGACCTGTCACTGAATTTAAGGCTAATTTGAAGCCAAAAGAATGGGTTCAACAGTCTTAGCATACATCTTAACAGGGACACACTTTCATGGAGATGAGCTGATTTCGTAAACGTAGTATAAAATCCAAGATACAATACTATAGGGTCTTTCGTGTTCATTCATACCCTGCCGAAACAGAGAAGTGTTTGGATAAGCAGCCTGAGGTGGAAAGTATGTCAGAATAAAAATTCCAGCATCTTTGTACTGGGTTGCTTAGATGGAGGAGAGAGGGAAGCTGCAGTGTTAAACTGGTTCAGTTTAATGCTGTCATCACTGATATGTTCAGTTTCCACGTTATCATCCATAACCAAAACCTCACTGAGTATCTAGGTTAGGCAAACCCTTTGATTAGCTCCTGGTGCCAAACACCTGAGTGAAAGGCACTGGCAAGCACAGCGAGAACAAACTCCTGTACGATCCTTTGTCCTACTCCGAAATATCTTAATAAGGGGACCCTACCTCACATTGCATTGAACACAGTGTGAGAAGCATGACATGGTTTACAAGTGCTAATCTCAGCCTCTCTTCAGCACTTCACAACCCTTGCAAATCAAGGCGCCTGGCTGCAGCTGCTACCTCTGACTTCCATGCTAGCAGAGCAGCTGGGAAAGACACCTCCCGCTCCAAGTTCTCTCCTAAAGCCCTAAGGAGAAAATCCCAAGTTTGAGCCTCTGAGGCATGGGTCCAACAGGCAATCTGTGAAAGCAGAACTGCTCGAGATGACTTTGTGGTGGAGTTCCCAGGGCCTAACATCAACCCGCCTGACCTGGCACAGCCTGTCCTCCTTCAGCTGGCGTGTCTTGCTTCTCTATCTCCTCTAAGGCTGCGAGGGTGTTTGGGGATTTCTGTTGAACTGGAAGAAACCTACACTAGGACAACATGCAGCAAATAACAGAGGTCGCTTTTTGGGGTTTGTAGCTGTTATTGATGCAGCCTTTCGAAGCTCAAATTTCATCTCCTCCCAAATACTGCCCCATGATTCAGCCATACCTAGAGTGCCCTGGCTGACAGAGGAGCCTCAAATAGTTTTACTGCCTCTCAGCACAGCACAGCCATTCCTGGCCCTAAGACAATGAGCCAGGCAGAAAAGGATGGATGCCAATCCCACTTGCCCAAGCTCTAGTAACTAAGCAACACATTAAGGAATAAACATCACATCTGTCCAACTGATTACATGGCACTTTCACCAAAACTTCCCATGGAAACTAAAATTAAACTGAGTTTAATACTGCCAAGTGTTAAACTGAAATGGTTTTGCTTAACCATATCTACTCACCTTGAAGGGACATTTCTATACTTATAGGCAGGCATATAGAATCAAAGAATCATAGAATAGTTAGGGTTGGAAAGGACCTTAAGATCATCTAGTTCCAACCCCCCTGCCATGGGCAGGGACACCTCACACTAAACCATGCCACCCATATATAATACAAAGATGTGTTTATGAATACACACAGTATAAATTTCTAATTTTTAAATAATTTTATACACTAGTTTAATGTAAAAATTGGAAAAAGACAAATAATCTAAAACTGAACCTTTGCCATGTGCTTGGTCTTCCTAGAAGACACAATTTCCAATGCTTATTAAGCATAATTCATTCGTAACCCATGAGCATTCATTTACAGGATGGAATCACAGTAAGGCTATTTGGGACACTTTCAAAGCACCCACCACCACCATTTCAAGACAGCAATGACTTTCACAAAAGTAAACAAGCTTGGGTAAGAAGTAGACAGATTTTGCGAGGTAAGGAAGAGAAAGGAGGGAATCAAACTGCTCCATTAATAAATGCCTCTTTCATCCCTCAGGTGAAAACTCATGGACCCCATCTAAGAAAAGATAGTGGTGGTGTGAAGAAGGCCAGGAATAAAGGAAGAAGAAAGAGGAGCTTGCAGGAAGCATCCTGGTAACCCTCTTTTGCAGAGGGACAGGAATATCATCATCTTGTGCCACTGCTATTGTGGTACAGAGTGAGCAGGCAGGGTAGGGGGATGAGCTGTTTGCATCCTTGCTGCCCTAGTATGACCTGTTGAGGGCATCCCCACCTCCTGTCTTCCCCCCTCATCTGTCTTTGTCTATGAGACCAATTCAAGACTATTCACAATTGCAGCCCAAAGGAAAGGAAAAACAAAAAAAGCAATTATACTTGAAATTGAAGCTTGGAAAGGGGGGATGCCAATAGAAAACGTTGTCCATATACTTACTATTATTCTTGTCCTAGTAAATCTTAAATTTCGATATATGAGAGAAAGAAATGAAGCCTTTACTTCAAAGTAAAGTCAGAAAAATTGTATTGCATTAACCAGTGGAAGAAGGTTTGGCTTTCTGACGTGAATATCATAGCATTGGTTTAGTGAGGTTGGAAATAAGAGGACTAGCATAGGAGGTCTTACAGAATCGATAATTTCAGCATGGGGACCAGCTGTGAACAACAGTTGCATTTTCTCAACATTTTCTTCTAGAGGCTATGAAATTTTCCTTTCCCTCACAAGGGAGAATGATGTGAAGAGGAAGCAGACACAGTAGGCCAGGAAGAAAAATCTCTCGGCACACAAAAAAGTGAGCAAATGAAGCCTTGAACGTTTCTATACACATGATATAAACTGTACTGCAAGGCTGTCTGGTTTTACATTTTAGGAAGGTCTCCTCAAGTGGATGCCCGATACCTGTTTGCCCTGAGAGTCCTGCAATAACTCCACACCGCCACGTCAGTTTACAGCTGTACATGGTCTGATTTCAATCTCTCTTACTTGAGTGTGAGCTCTACTGACCTTATTGAAGTCATAGAATCATAGAATAGCTAGGGTTGGAAACGACCTTAAGACCATCTAGTTCCAACCCGCATGCCATGGTAAGTGTTTCAGGACTGCAGTTGTCCTCGTTACAGTATGAAAATGAATTTCCTTAAGCTATAACTGATGATTCTGTCACAGAGATGGAGAATTGAGAAAGTTACTTCAGTGAAAGAAAAACAAATGCATGTAGCCATCTATGGTAGTTACTGCTCGAAGGAAATGTAACTGTCTTTTCAATGCAAAGTGAATTTTGCCTCTGACTAATGTGTTTGAGATGAAAACATGATCCTAATTACAGGTTAAATGATTCATTTTGATTTGAATTAATTTTAAATTAAAATAAAGAGCTGTTAGTAAATTAAAATTAGGGGCATTTTAGTATTCAGGGCCTGAAGGCCCCTATACATGGAGCAGTATCACCAGTTCCCAGCCATCAATACCAACCAATGACCTGAGCCCATGCTGCCTGAGCAGATGACTTCCCAGGACTGCTAAACCAAGCCTGACAGGGACCATTTTCCTGCACAAGATCAAAGCAGCTCAATGAGCCGCACTCCCCAGTCTTATAGGAGCTCTGCCTTTTGTGCTCTGAACAAAGGCGCTATGTTTCAAGGCAAGGCTCAAGCATCACAATGCACTGAGAGCAGATATACGCATCCGTAACACTATAAACCTGTACAGCTCATGGATAGCCAAACATGTCCTCATAGTGTGCGCTAGCAAGATGGGTGACAGCAACCCTAGGACAACCCTCCTGTCCCTGGGCCCTGCATAGAGGACAGGGAAGAATGCCCCCCCCCAATGTGGTCTGTGTTAGAGGGGCTTTGCAAACTACTCCCACTGTCACCCCTGGAAATGGCATGCCACTGAGCAGCAGTGGAGGTCCCTGCACTGGACCTGAAGCCACAGGATGACCTTTGGCTGTGCAGGCGTGCTGTGAAGTGAATGCTACTGACTGGCTCACCTCGATGCCCAATTGCACCATCGCAATGTTCCCAAGTCCCTTTCAGAAACATCTACATCATTCTCTTGTCTCACTATACATATTATGGCCATGATCTGGAGACAACAGCATAGTTCCAACAGCACTGTGTTTATCACCAGTAACAGAATTGCACTTTCGCCCACCCATACATATATGTGCACATGCAAAATGAGTTGCAGCACAGCTGTCAGCTCGTGAAAATGGATGGCATAACAAGCAGCACAGATCAACCTTAGAAAACATTTAAAACCAGTTTATTCTATTTGGGCAAGTAATTTCTTTCCCTTCTTGCACTTGCTTATATCTTTGAGAAAAACAAAACGGTGAAAATCATGATTTTAAATGAAGATTTCTAAACTGTCCATATCACACAAATTATATC